CACATCTTAATTAATTATAAGTATATCGCCTAAAATAGAAACCGAAATAAAAGTATATTCTATTTTTATTTAATTTTTATTTTATTAAAAAAAATAAAAGTTTGAAATAAAATTGTACTTAATCAGTAAGAACCAATTATGTTCAAAATCTATGAAAAAACCTATGAAAAATACGCCCATTAATTCATCATGTTTTGAATGTTTCGTTAAATAAATAAGTGAAGCTCCACCTGTTCTAAAATAAACATCCTTCATGAAATAGATATACAAAATAAAAATGTGTAAATAATTATTACACTTTTTAATTAACTAAATGACAGTTTTACCTTTAATTATAGAAAAAGAATATTTTTCCATCCCATACTCTATACTATATTATAAAGCATTTGACAAAAATTCTTAAAAACCATTTTTTATGCTTGAAGTATTGTTTATTGATGCATATTACTTAAAAATCAAGATTACAAGTAAATTTTGCGTAAGTACAACTTATTAAAACTTAATGTTTGAATTCGTGTAACTAACTACAGATAAACATAATCAAATAGAGAATAAATATCACATTTTAAATATAAAATATTTAAAATATAATTAAGATAATCATTGAATTAAAACAAAATATTTAATTATAATCTTTATAAAAAATTATATTATTAAATAAAAAAATGAATTAAAGAAATACCCCAAAAAAGGAGAAATTTTAAAGTCATTTTGGTACTAATATCAATATTTTTTTTCAATTTTTTATAACATCGACTGAGACAAAAAGAATAAACATTAAAATCGAAATGTATCTCGCTGCATTATGCAAATACCCTTCTAGTTAATGGTATAATAGGAAAATAAACGTTTATTTTTTAAATTTGATACTTATTCCAAGACAAATTATAAAATATTTATTTCAATAATATTTTATACTAAAATTTAAATGAGGGGCCGTTTACCAAACGCTTTTCCGGGTAAGCGCTTACCAAGTAACATTACCTCACCGGATGAATATACTAAGCACCAAGAATCTTACCTGGTAAGAGCGAGACAAGGACCAAGAGCCTTACTCGGTAAGTGAGGGCCACAACTCTTACCACGGTAAGCGCTTACCGGGTAAATTGTTGCATACGATCTTGTTTTGGTGAACTAAAATCATACCCAATAATTAAGTTATAATAATGTTAAATTTTACCGGTAAGCACTTACCGTGTAAGCGTTTGATCTATATTTACTGATCAGGTAGCCAAAGCCACGATAGTGAAAGCGGCTATGGACTCCATCCAATTCCTGGAGCAAACCCTCCAAAATCTTCAGAAACAGAAGGTGGAGAGGCTTCAAAGTCATGTATCCAAGGATGCTACTGCAGTCGTACCCTTTGTTCCATCTCAAAATCAAGTCGTTAATAACAACGATGATGAACCCTTGTTCGTTAACCAGCAGCAGCAGGGTTCGTTAAACGTTTTCGAAACATGGACATCGCCTAACGTCACCATAAGCATGTGTGGCACCGATGCCCATATCAGCATCTGCTCTTTGAAAAAGCCTGGCCTTTTCACTACCATTTGTTTCATCTTGAAGAATCATAATCACGACATTGTTTCTGCTCAAATCTGTTCGGATGATGCTAAGACCATGTACATGATTCATGTTCGTGTAAGTCATTTCTCATTCCCTAATAATAATACCATTCCTTACATATTCTTTGATGATGATCAAAAGAATATATAGATATACATAGATATGTATATATACTAGAAAGTTACTCGCACAATGCAGCGAGATAAATCTCGATTTCAGTGTTTCATTTTTTTTGTCTCGGTCGATGTTATAATACGGTTTTATGTGGTTTTTAAAAAGTGATAATGTTTTGTTTTTTGAATAAAATATAAATATGAAGATATCTTAAAAAATTTAAAAAAATATTGATACTAGTACCATACTAACTATTTAAAATTTCTCGTTTTTATGTGTATTTCTTTAAATCATTTTTTTATTTTTGGTTTAATAATATAATTTTTTATAAAGATAATAATTAGGTGTTTTATTAAAACTCAATGATTATCTTGATTATATTTTAGTTTTTTTTATATTTACAATGAGATGCTTATCCTTTATTTGATTATTTTATCTAAAACTAGTTATACGAATTCAAATATGAAGCTTTAATAAGTTGTACTTAC